ATTACAATATCATAAAGAGTTAAAGGTGAAATGCATGTTTATAATCTTTTGAGTTCTATTATTTTGTTAATCATATATGTTGCTCTTGCTGAAAACAAAAGCCAATTATGACGTTTACATTTGATCTAATATTACATTGATTTCAATAAACACAGAAACATTTACTGACATGAATCTTCACACATATGTTTGTTTATAGGAAAAATATTTCTGCAGTTACTGCAGATAAGTTATCTGCATTTACTCCCAAAACGACGTCGTTTTGGGATTGAAATATTAAAAAATTATAATTATAAAGACTATAATAACTCTGAAGTAAATTAAAATTACAAAAACACCATGATTTTTTTCCCAAAACGATGTCATATTAGGCTTACTATAGATAACTTATCTGCAGTAACTGCAGAAAAAACGAACCTGTATAACGCAATCTTTGCTTTAGTTTCAATAACATAGCATATCTGGATATTATATTAAAATAAAATTGGGTCTCCTTCTTATTTTGTAATTAATATTTTTTCTAAAGATATTAATTTTGTTTGTATATTAGAATATGTGCAAATAATTTTACAACACGTTATCAGCACGATGAACTATTAGTTTGTCTTTTATTTGAAATTTAACTGCTAAAAGACGGTTGCAATTTTTTATATATGATTAAATTTCATAACCGTTATAGTTGTCTCATGCATATTTAAATGACATTCAATAATTTAATTTGTGAGTTGATATGAGTATGCATGTATGTATTAAATGAGACAATAATGATTATTACAATTGTGGTATTTGTGACTTTTATAATTGAATGCAAATTAGTCAGTTATGAAATTTATTAAATTATCTTTGTTTTGAATCATTATGAATATTCATATTTATTATATTGTTTTTCCATATCCGATGAGTGAAAATAAATATAATTTTAGACCCGTGCTTCAAAAGCATTACCTGAAGCAAATGCCAAAATCCCGATAGAAAATCCAACATTAGGTCAAATCATAAAAAGGAAAGAAGCCAAACGAAAGTGGCTAGTAAAATGAATATGACAAATTAAAATAAGGGCAACCGTTATGAATCTCATGCCATCGAAATTAATCCCATTGTTGAGGCTAGTAATATCTTTATTGATTATTGCTCCTGAAGTAGCAAAATCTGAATTATTTTATCAATTGCCTATTTAATGCCTCAATATGTGATGCATGTAATTACACATATTGATATGGAGGAAGCAAATTTTTATACAATAATGGGCAATATAAAGCTTTAGATAAGCTAATTTGTGATTATCAAGGGGGACCAAATTGGCTATAAATGATATCGCATTGAGACCACAAATGATGGTAAAATTGACTTTTTTTATAAATATTGCAGGTAAGGAATGTGTATAAAAAGGAAAATTACCTGTTTTTCTTCCGACATATATTACACTAATATTAGCATGATTAAAAAACATGCCTTGGTAAATTAAAAGGATATTGATTATAATAGCTATATTATTTGGCATGATCTGATGGACCATCCCGGATCAAATGTGATGCGAAATATTATTGAAAATTCATATGATAATGCATTGAAGAACCAGAAGATTTTTCAAGAGAAATTATCACCGGCTAAAGTTGAGATTCAATCTCTTACATTTTTAAAATGTATATGTGTTATCAAAAAAAAAAAATGTATATAGGATGAAATATATGGGTCCATTCACCTATCATATGGACCTTTCAAATATTATGAATTTAATAGATGCATCCACAAAATATCCACATATATGTCTATTATCAATTCACATTTGTCATTTGCAAGATTGTTTGCTCAAATGATAATATTAAGAGCAAATAAAGACAATTTGTCTTCATAATACTGGTGAATTTATATATTAGCATAATTATTTATTAAATGTCTCCAATTGATTGTTAGGACATTGCCTATGAGAACAAAGCTCCTTATTTTTGCATAGAGATATGCCATGTTTTATACTGCAGTACTTGTACATGCCAATAAGTTATCATCTCCCCATTACATTGGCTTATGGTCAGGAGCCAAGTAATTTTTTTTTATGTGCGATTTATATTCTAATTACTCCACTACAACGCACAAAAGATGAATCCCTAAATATAGTTGGGAATATATGTTGGATCTGAATCTCCTTATAACTTGAAATAATGACTGGAGATTTAGTTAATTCAATAATGGATTATTGTTACCAATCTTTCCAACATAAGGGGGAGAGAATAAACAGTTGAAAAAATATATTAATTAAAATGCATTATCATTATCTCATAGATCCTCGCATAAAATAAATATGAGAAAATGATATTACGTATCAACTGCCTGATGATTTAACTGACCAATAAGTCAAATATTCCAATTGTAAATGCTCCAATTTATATTGTACATAGAAAAATGATCGGTTCCAAGGATAAAAATCCTCAGAAAGAGAGAAAAGGAGAAAACGATTAAGATGGTCATAATATGGAGACAATTCTTAATTCTAAAGACATAACTTTCATTAAATCTCGAGGTGGTTCAGGTACTGAAAATAAATGAAAATGAAGTTATCTTTATTGTTTATGTCATTACAGGAAAAAGTTGGAGCCAAAAAGATATAGTTGTTGAGAACAATTTTTTGCATAAAAGGAAATGATGAAATAAGACGAGGATCTTAAAGATAAATTTGTTAATGATGATTGGCCAAAAATATAAAGACACAATTCAAATTCAAAGTTTTTGGAATTATAATCCAAACATATGAAGGTGTAAAGTCAGTGGGGTACAAATGTGCAAAAATTATAATGAGAAAATGAAGTTGTAAGATATAAAACACGACTTGTAACACAATGATTTTCACAAAAGCCTGGCATTTATTATATGAAAATATATTCTCTTGTGGTGGATGAAAAATCACCTTCAAATATCTTATTAATCAGACAATATACGAAAAATTGGCATGCGTCTAATGGATGTTATTATAGCCTATTTATATGGCTTATTCGATCGATAATGAAATTTATATGAAAATCCTATTAGGATTTAAAACTCTTGAAGCATATAAGAATTCCCGAAAAAAAATTTGAGTAAAGCTTTAAATATCACTAAATGGATTAAAGAAATAAAGACATATGTGGTATAATTGAACTAATAAAATATTTATCAGTCAATTTATAATTTAAAGAGATTGTACATGGATAAAGCAAATCCATTGAGTACCCCAATGGTTATGAGATCGCTTAACATAAATAAATTATTCATTTCACCCTCATAAAAAATAATTTCCTAATCTTAAAATGTTATTAAGGCATAATATATAGCGGTCATAAAGGAAATTAATTATATAGCTCAGTTAAGGGGAAGATATTATGATGATATATACTTATATGATAACTACAATTCAGAAAGAGAGTTATAAGAAATGCACTCTTTTTCTCTTCACCAAAGTTTTATCCCATTGGGTTTTTCTTGGGAAAAGGGTGAACATCCAAGGCAGAGCTATGAAGATATTAATAAAGTGGATGTTCAACTTTCTAACCCACATCTTCTCCCCATTTACCCTTACGTTTTCTTTCTTGTTTGTAAGTCTATTAGCAGTATCATACTCTTCTCCAACACGAAGATACTGGAATAATAATAATGTATGTTTGATGTTTACTTGAGCCGCACAAAGGTAGATCCCAAACAAGATTTCGATCACAAGTGGAAGCACAACAAGCTGATATATGGGACTGAGATTCGTAGACTCAGAGACAATAAATGATGTTATAATCAGGGGGAGTAAAATATGTGTTGCACTCTCTTTCCTTCACCAAGGTTTTGTCCCATTGAATTATCCTGGTAAGATTTTTAATGAGGCAGCTTGCATACATATTATTATAAGTGTATACTTTTTTTCCTTCACTAGGGTTTTTTTTTCTACAGGGTTTTTTTCCTAGTAAGGTTTTAACGAGGTACATTAAGTTAATGGACATCAAGGAGGAGTGTTATAAATATAACTATATAGATGCTCATAACCCCCAAAGGAATGATGTATAGCTCTTGTAACTCCCATGAGTTATAATATGTAATTAGGAGAATTTAACACTATAATCTATTCTATTGTAACTCATTGTAGTAAAGGGTCTATAGAGACCATGTACAGATCTTGTAGATTGATAATACAATACAATGAAAGTGATCTTTCTCTCTCCTTGTCCTAATTCTTTATTGTCCTTCTTCTTGTTACCCTTTATTTTACAACAATATGCTCATTAATTAGGAATTGGAAAAGAGAAGTGAAGGATTTAATGCCTAAGTAACGTGTAAAGCTTTAATTTCTTTATCAGTTGATTCAAAACTCAGTTAATTGGTTTCAAATCGTATCGGATCTATATAAGCAGCAGCTCTCCTAATACTATTTTCTCTTCGCTAAATAAAAAGAACAAGCTCCTCGTTACTTAAATAAATAGTTATTGATAATATTCTTCATTTCTACTTCATTAAAAAGTACTAACTTAGAAAGAAAGAAAAAAATGTTTTTTTTTTTAGCCCAAACCAATTCAACTTGAGAACACTGCTAATCAAACCCCAAATGCTTCAAAAATATGAAAAGGTAAATATGTTATGCATACTTTGTAGGGATAGGTTATTTTATCTACTATTTTTTCTGTCTACCTTTACATACCACTCTAAAATATCATTAGATCAGAATTTTAACTAAAATTTATCTTTCTCTCTTTTTGAGATTCTGATATAACAATGTTGGAGGATGATAGACAAAAGTAGACAGAAAAAATAGTAAGTAAAATAATTTATCCCTACTTTGTATGGTAATCAACAAGCTTCATACATCTCTCCCAGGAAACAAGCATTTTCCAGGCAACAATATTGACAATGTTATGATTGGAACGGGCAAGAGATGTACCCAAGTACAAGCTTTAACTGCAATAAGTGTGCACAAGTAGCCAATTTTGCAGAGCAATGAACTGCTTAAGTAATTGTATCCAATTGAATATCTTTTAATCAAACGGGTTTTTAGGAGCAACTGAATTAGCATTTTCGCCTACAGTTTCTACTGCATAAGGTTCTACAGCAGTACTTACATACGAAATTTCAAAGCCAGAGCTAGACTATAACGAAAATTATGATCTTAAGAACAAATTAAACAAATCCAGATAGATAAAGACATTCCAAGCAGAACAACTATTCAGAAAATAAGCTTAACATCGGTCAACCAGCAGAGCCCACTTCCCCCTTTCACAATACATAAAAAGGCAAGTTAATTCAGTGATTTACAGATATGAAATCATGGACACTCATTTTGTGGATGCAAGAGCCTTCGACAACATCATAAAATTGCTTCACTTTCTCCTCCTCTTTCTTCGTCTTCTGTCACTTTCATCAGAACTAGCCGAGTCTGAGTCAGACTCGGAACTAGCTGTTACCGAGTCTGATGAAACAGAACTCCCTGACTCTTCACCTGATTCAGAATCAGAAACTTGTTTCTGTTGTTGCATGATAAGACGTGGCATATTCTTCAAATACTCACGTAGGTTCTCAGTAAGACCACCAAGTCCAATGGATGTGAAGAAGTTAATGCAGAACCGTGTGTTTTTTGGGTTATCTTTTGGAAATATGGATTCATAAGAGTCCTGCATTGTGGCATCATTTAATCGCTCATTCAGCAGCCGAATGCCAAGATGCTCTGATAATTCCTGTAGTATTGTAAAGTTAAATCAACATCTTTTACATGGAGAGAGGCAGGCATAAATTATCAGTACATCCCATAGACAATATCACACAACAAATAGAATAAATCCCCACCAAAAATCAGCTTTTATAAAGATAAAATGGTAATATCTATTAAGCATGTTTTGCCTACAAAATAGAAAAGGTTAGGCAATGGTGACGAGCCAAATAAAGACATCACACCATGCTGCCAATTTTTGTGGCTACATAAGAAGACATCACATCCTCACAGAATCACTACCAAATATATTTTTAAGGAAAACCATAGTAGGCAAATATCCTAGTGGCGTAGAACAACTAACCCCAAAATACTTAGCAGTATAGCAGATTGCTTGGCGGCCACTAACAAGGATAGGGGATACAAATCAGAAAATTTATAATACACCCATAAATACCCAACTCAAAACTTTAAACATTCACCAGTAGGTGTTTTACCAATGAACAAGAAAAGGCTGAGGATGACCTGCTCAGTGGAGTTGGCCGACTCCAATTAAGACATGGCTGAAGGGGTGAGGGAACAGGGGCTGGAAACACTGCCACCGGGTGGGCTTCGGCACTTAAAACACACTGGGCTGCCAGAAAATCACTGGCCTGCTGGAACAGAGGCATGTGAAGTGCAAAACAGTGGGAAAACAAGTGAGCTTGGCCGGAAAACCACTGCACAGCCAGAAGCTGAAAACAGATGTGGGGCATTGGGCTTCCTTCAATGCTTTTGGTGCAAAAAGGATGGAAAATCACAAAATACTCCCTTAGATGGGTGGGAAAATGTAGAAAAGGATAAGCAAAACTCAGTTTTAGATCCTGTGCAGAGTAGCATTGCTGAAGTATTTATTAGAGAAATAGTTAGGCTCCATGGCATTCTGATATGATAGCAACAAAGGTTTACTCTAGGAGACATTTTAGAGGAACAATTGGTGTGGCTGACTCAGCAGTGAATATTCTGGAAGAAAGGATGGAGGGCAATTCTATTAGAACTGTTGGTAAGGAGAGAGAAGGCAATGATGACGTGGTAGGAGGTTGAGGTGGTTATGAGTCAGGTGTCATTGCAAATGAAGGCATTGGAAAAGTGGAACCTGGAATTGGGAGAGAATCAACACCTCTAATGTGTTGAGTTGTATCTTTTATTTTCTTTCTTATTATGGTCTTCGTAGCTGATAGGAGAACTTGGATTGTAGTAGAATTGAATTCCTTGTTATTTTCATTACTGTTTTTTGTAATTTCAGCTTATTAATATACAGAAAATCTGGAAGGTGTTCCTTCTAGGCCAAAAAACCCTTTTCTTCGTTTTTATCTTCCATTTCTATGATCCAGTTGTATTAACTGGTATCAGAGCACTTTGATCCAGTTGTATCAACTGGTATTAGAGCTTTCCACTATGTCTCCCGGTTGCAATCGAGCGGCACGGGTGGTGATGCCGACATTGCAGTGTTCGCCTGGGGCTAGTAAAAGACTAGCGCAAAGCCAGCCCGCATGGGCGCCGGAGCTATGGAGCGTGGTGGAATGTTAGGGCCAAGGTTGTCAGTAGAGGCTCGTAGCACCGCTACCGTAGAGGGTAGCGGCGGTCGGCCGCTACAAACCGCAACGCTACGCGACATTGGCTGTAGCAAAAGGTAGCGACAATACTGCTACCCGCTACACCACTTCCATGTTGGAATTTGATGGAAAATCCAGAGATGATGATGATTTTCTTCATTATTTCACTTCTTGTACTTGACTATTTGACAATTTTATTGTTCATCTGTGTTTAGTTTTGGATCCTTCCTTTATGTTCCTTGTATTTGACATTGATTGTGGAATTATGTGTTTGATTTTGTGTGACTTCTTATGTTTGATCATTAATACTAAAAGCGGTATTGCCTCGTTTCTTGACTGTTAGTATAATATATGTGGAATTAATACTTTACCGTAACGGCAATACCGCTACCCGTTACACCGCTATACCATTTTCGGGTTCGGCATCTAACTGCTACTGACAACTATGGTTAAGACCCATTTGTAAGGTATGGGACTTAGAGTCCCACATTGATTGTATGAACAACTAATGTGGAGTTTATAAGGCCTTGGGCACTCCCACCCTTTGAGCTAGCTTTTGGGTGGTGCATCCCAAGGTTCTTACCACATTCCCATTTCTATTGTGAGTGATAGAGACCCTACCTTCACTAGACATTTTTGGAAGGAGTTATTCAAATTGCAATGTACTGTCTTAAATTTTAGTTCAGCTTATCATCCTTAAATGGACGGTCAAGCGAAGGTGTTGAATAGAACTTTGGAGACTTACTTGAGATGTTTATGTTCGGAGGAACCGAAAGTTTGGGGGACCTTTTTACCATGGGTTGAATATTGGTATAATACAAGTTTTCACACAGCAGCTCAAACAACACCTTTCGAGGTCGTTTATGGTCGACCTCCTCCTTCCCTAATCAAGTATATTCTTGGCGAAACTCTTATTGAAGCTGTGGTAAGGGATTTGATGAGGCTTTTAGGCAATTAAAGTACCATCTTGAGAGAGCTCAGTCTCATATGGCTAGGAAAGCGAATATGCATCGTGCTCCTTCCATTATCAAAGAAGGTGATTGGGTTCATCTAAAAATCAGGCCTCACCAAAGTGCATCTGTTCAAGGAAAATTACCTCCAAAATTAGCAACCCGATACAATGGGCCTTTTTTAGTGCTTAAGCAGATTGGATCTGTAGCATTCAAACTCCAACTACCAAGCCAAGCTCGTAAACATCCTGTCTTTCATGTTTCTCAATTGAAAAGAGCCATTGGCTATCACACGGTGGAAGACAAGCTCCCTGCAAATTTGGAATATAATGTTCCCATTTTTATTCCGGAAAAGGTGATGGCTACTTGTACAATTCGTGAACAAGGAGTCCCAAAAACAGGTTCTAATTCAGTGGCAAGATCATCCAGTCGAAGAGGCATTTTGGGAGGATTTGGCAGGGATTCATCACCAATTTCCTGAATTCAACCTTGGGGACAAGGTTATTTTCCCCCGGGTGGTATTGATACCCATATGGGTGATTGAGGACCCAAACCCCTCAAAGTTTACTCTAGAAAAATTAATTAAGTAGTTAATGACAGTTTATGTGTTAGTTAATAACAGTTATGTCAGAATTTATGACGGTTTTGTGTTGGTTAATAACAGTTATATCAGAAATTATGATTAATTTATGTTTATGCAGTTAAGGGAGGAAGATATTAGGTAGTTATTCTGTATTATTAGGAAGTTATTCTGTATTTTTAACAGTTATGGCTTATGGTGTTGGAGGGAAAGAACTTACTTAGGATAAGAAGATGGGGAGGACTGAGAAAGGCACAGTAGAAGGAGGAAACTCCTTGTGAAGAGGAATACCCTCTTGTATTGTGTTATTACTAAAGTAATTGAAGTTTGTTCAGTGTGGATTATATTACTCTTTCTTTTTTATTTTCATGTTGGATTCTAAAAGTTAATTCAAGGTCGTAAAAGAAAAGGCAAGGCTGCGTACAAGGACTGCCCTCGCCCCTACCCTCCCTTGCCGGGTTTAATAAGGAGTTGTGGTTACAAGTGTCCTATGTCCCTGGCCCAATGCTTGATTAGTTTTCATGGTAAGCAAAGGAAGCTAAATTTTTTTACCAATATGCAACCTTTACTATGCTGTGGTACTTCTGGTTGGAGCAGAACTCTTGTATTTTTAAGGAGGTTTCTTTACCACCACACTTGAGTTGGGATCAGGTTGGAGTCTTCATGGTGTAAAGCATATGGCCTTTAGACATGGTTTCACCAATAGAAATGCTGAGTATTTGGGAAGCTTTGTTCCATTGAATTTTTATTTTTTTTGAGGATTCGTTGTCCTCCCTTGTCTTCATAATTTTGTTTTTCATCTTAATGAATTTCTTCTGTTAACCAAGAAATAAAATAAAATTACATAGCATATACATTACAAAAAACAAGAGCTTGGTTGGATGCACATAATTTCCTTTTCAGATACAAAATTCCTTCAACCACCTTTTAAGCAATAAAGGCCCAAAAAATCTTTCTTGAGTATTTTTCTAAACCGGTAATGCAAACTTGTTGAAATAATAAGACAAACACATGGAGAAAAAAATAGAATATTTGAGTTTGATTCTAAGTACCTGGAAGAGAATCTTAATAAATATACGTGAAGAAGAAGTTGTGTCCTCTTCAGTCAAGCGTATATATGATAAAACATGCCAAGGTAGAGCATCTGTGCCAAGTAAATGAGCAAAAAACTTTGCCACATTTCGCAGTTTATTGGTTTCAAGTCGATGAATCATTGAGTACTGCTGCACAAAGCACTTTTCAAAATTTTCTTGATGTACTTTGTTGATCATGCAGAAACGCTGCCCCAGAAGACCATAATATCGAAGGTAAGTTCTCTCTTGGCTGCAACATTCCAAAAGCATAATGCACAATTCCATCTGCCACCAATCAGAAAGAATTATAATTATTTTAAGAAATTAACTTGTTTGAAAATAGCATAAAATAAATGGAAAATGATATAGCAAATGCTGGAAATGACTGTTCAATCTGAATAACTACTATGGATGCAGCTTATGCTTATAACAATCGGACATGAACTCAAGCCCTAGTTCTTTAAAAAAGCATCAAAATCAGATAATGAAAACACAAGAACCAAATAATCTTGCATCCAGGTGATATCCAGTTAAAACCTAATATAAAAGATCAATAAGTGACAACACACAATTGTTTAAGCTTTTTAAGAGAAAAAGAAAAGCCATTTTTCTAATTAAAAAACAGGTCCAAAATTCATAATAATTAGATAAATTTTCAAGAAAAAGAAAAAAAAAGGCATAAACATTTTTAAAAAAAATTGTTTTAGTACTTTCTTAGAAGCTAAGTAGCTTCTGAAAAAAAGCTACATCGTAAAATCATCCTTTTAAAGCTTAAACAAAGAGGTCCTTACTCTATGAGGCACATCAACGATTAAATACAAGGGAGGGATAAAGAGAGCATTCAGCTTTTTCAATAATATCATGCCCAAAAAGTAAAAGTAGATATTACTTTTCCTTTCAAAGAATTCAAAATTCTTCCATATTATTTAAATATTAATTTAAAGCATCCAGAAAATATTTAGAATAAGAAAAACGCAAAAAGCAGATAGTTTTGACAACAAAACAGTAACTGCCACCAGAGATTCCATGCTCACCTCTTGACCAGGCTCTAACTTAATTTTCAGAAGCTTATGACCCGCTTCCTCAAAATCTACACTAGACATTATTGTTAAGTAAATTGTTCTTCGAAGATTGACAAGATTTGTCTCTGTTTCATCTTTTATTTCCATACTTTCTTCTTCCTCTTCATCAGATTCATTGTCTTCATCATCTTCATCTGACTCTGCATCAGAGCCTTCCTCATCCTCAGATTCCTCACCCAGTATTGTTTTCTTCAACTCTTCATAACGCTTCTCATTCTCCAGGAAATTGGGGTTTGGCTTGAATATATCTGAGAAAAAATAAAATGGTAAATAAAGAAATCACAATGACATAAGACCACAAATCGATCAAATTAGATACAGATACAAACTTAACAATACAAAATGTACCAAGGGAGATCTCTTGATCTATATCCTCATCCAAGGAGACTTCATGTGTTAACTGATCTTCCTGCTCCACAAGGTCCAGCTCAGGACGAACAGCTGGATGGCCCTGTAAACGTAATGCAACCATCATAAAGCATTTCAATTTTCAAACTATTCATTCAACAAAAGAGTTGACATGGGGTGTTATCGCATTAATGTGCTATTACTGTCCCAAACAATAAAAATAAGTACCTGAAACTTGGCTTTTCTAATTGCAAATAAGCCTTCAATCAGAAACTGAACACGTTTGTCAATTTCTCCTTCATGAAGAATTCCACGAAACCGCTCAAAAATACCTGTAAAATTATAAATCTAACTTAACAAAAAAAAACCAAGACTGTAATTGATCTTAAGCATTATTTGCACATATAAGTGTCTTGCATTGGCATATTTGTGCAAGCATGCAGGAACCTATACAAGTATAAACCAGCAGAAGACCCAAAGCAAGTGGATGCATTTGGGTAGAGCAATAATTAAATATATAATCATTTTTTGTTTTTATAAAAGAAGAAATATTAAGATAAAAGGAAAAGATAACAGAGAGATTGGAGGATAAGATATACTCCCTAAAATAAGAAAACACAAACAAAAGAGATTTGAAAAAAAAAAAAATTACATGCATCACACCCAGGTAATAAGGGACTCGGGTTCCTAATTTTGCCACTCACAATTCCCTCAAACTAACACAATTTCATGCACCTGGAATCTCAAAACCCTTGATTCCACTCTCCCCCTTTATTGAAGAGGATGAGGTAATTTTAACCCAAATATCATTTGCATAGCCTTACCATGATTTCATGAAGTAGTTAATACCATGAAGCAGAGAAAAGAGATAACATGAAGGGCTATAGTAACTAGGAAAAAAGACAAATGAGCGAAGTCATAATCATAATTATAAATAAAAAATCTAAGCAAACTATTGACATATAATTCAAGGGAATACCCACCATGAAGGCCTTTAGGAGAGAGATCCTGCAGTATTGAACCACATTCTGTGACAAAACCAACAGCTACTTCAACACTGTCATCGGTAGGCTTTTCAAGTAAAACTGTAAGTAACTCTAGAGCAATGATCTCGTGAGCCACTTGCTGATTCACCAGATGTGCTATAAATTTAACAGCAGCTAGTAATTGGGGCTATAAATGATTAAAGCCAAATGAAAATTACAATTAGAAGTAAAATAAAAGTTTAACTAAAAATGAAACAAAAGTAAATTGGAATAACAATAATGATCTTTGAAAAAGACCACACCATTAAATTAGTAGAGAAAGAGGAGTCACTACATACCTTGTCATTCCGTTTATAAGCTCTCTTTAGCTGCAAAACAATCCTTCTTAACAAAAGTTCCCCCACCTCAGGAAACTTGGTATTCACAACAGCAACCAACGCAGCAAAGACATCCGTAAAACCCGGAGATGCCATCTGGGACTTCATACATGACCGACAAAAGAGGCCTCTTCCCCTAACCAAGTTTTCAGCAAATAATTCCGGGATTATGTTTTTTATATTAGTAGCATTTACTTTGTTCACAAGTCCATTAATGCTCTTTCTTAGAGCATCCCACGTTAACCGTTGATACTCAGCACTACTTTTATCCTGAACTTCTTTCATCATCCGAGCCAACTTAAAAGGGGGAATGTAAACACCTCCACTCTTGCCCAAATTAGATGCATCACCATTCAGGTTACCTTCTGGGATCTTGACCTCTCGTTGAGTTCTTGCACTGTCAACCATTCTTCCATGTCCATCCTCTTTCTTCCTACTTTCTTCCTGTCGCTTGCTCACATCCTTCTCCCTACGATCCCTCTCATTGTCACCATCCCTTTCAGCTCTATGCCTCCTATCCCTATTCTTATCCCTGTTCCTCTCCCTATCCCTATCCCTATCCCTTTCTGATTTCCTGACCCTATCATATTCTTCCTCCGATTCATGACGCACCCTGCGATCTTTAATTCTACGTCTGTCCTCCTCAGCTCCACGCCATCCATCGCCATTTTCATGCTCATAGGTCCTCTCTCGCGATCTGTATCTATCTTTCTCTGCTCGCTTGCCATCCTCATCATACCTCCCACAGGACTCCCTAACACCAAGACCATCCTCACCTTCTTTCTTTCCACGACGCTGATCATAATGCATACGCGATCTCTCCCCTTCTTCTTCTTCTTCTTCCCTAACCGTTCCTTTTATCTGGCCCTCTTCCTCAGAACTCTCAGATTCTTCCTTTATTTCCCTATGTTTACTCTTCCGGCCCTCATCTTTATCCCTATCCTCCTCGCCATTACGCGTATTGTCATCCCTCTTAGCTCTGTTTCTTTCTTCCAAGTCACTATCATCACTCTTATCCCTGCGATAGTGACGACCATCAGATCTAGAAGGACGGTCGGATTTGGAACTCTTCTTGCTGCTACTACTACGATGACGATACCTATCTCTCTCGCCATCCTTCACATCATCTCCACTGGATTCACTACTGTTTTTTATCACATCATCTTTACTTGATTCACTGCTACGTTTTCTTGCCATGCCAACTTAAGAACCAACCCTAATCTAAACGAACGAAAAACAGAGAAACACCAAAATGCAGAGAATGACTGGAGCGCCTATTGTTATCAAGTTAACAACACAAGAACTGTAGTCACCGAAAGAAAATTCAATTCTTAGATAAAATCAAGAAGAATAACTAATTAGAGGGGGGAAACGAAAATTTGGCATAAAAATAACTATTCAAAATATTAGGGTTTCTAGAAACTTCTGCGACAAAACCAAAAGTCACTTACACTGCGAAGAAAACGAGGACCGCCGAGGGGAGGAACCGGCGGCGGAAAAGGCTGTGTCACTTCCTCGAAAGGCGGGTGCAGTGTTTGGAGAAGAAGAATAACGAAGTTTTGATTGGGACAGTGTTTGGATTCAATAGAAGAAGGATTGGGGCACAAGTGGGAATTTATTCGGGATATATGGGCTTTTTTATCAATATAGCTTTTTTTATAATTAATTAACAAATTGAATTTATTTATAAACTATTTTAAAAATTATCTGAAAAATTACTTGAATTATTTATCCGGATAGTGAGGGGTGTACCCGGATAAATCTCGACCAGAAATTCAAAATCGTTCGAATATTATCTCAACTATTTCAAATATTTATGGCATCTCAATGTGTTGTTATGCACCATAATAATTGAACCCCTTGCGCCTCAATAAATACGTTTCATCATTGCTTAATTTTTGGAAATTATTCTGAAGTTATTTATTTTTGAATTAGTATTTATTTTCTTCCTAATCTGTTACAATTTTGTTTTCCTTTTTTAATATTGATTTCTTTTCTAATTAGTGTGTAGCTGATTTATAGGGATTATACCTTTCATCTTAGCAAAAAGAAATATGAATTATTCAGAAAAATTATTGTTCCCTTTTTTACCAAAATTCTTTATAATGCATTCTTTACCAAACTTCATGTGCGCATATCCTTCAACAAAATGAGGTTGAGCACAAAAATCATCTTATTGAAACCACTCAGATTCTCTTACTCCATGGCAATGTTCCTTCCGGTTTTGGGACGATGCCATTTTCACTACTTGCTACCTATTTAATTGGATGTCTTTCTCTCCGGTTTTGGGATTTCTGGTCGAGATTTACCCGGGTACACCCCTCCTTATCCGGGTAAATAATTCAAGCAATTTTTCAGATGTCAAGAACTATACCCAGGTACACCCTTCCCTACCCGGGTAGGTAAAAAATTTCAAAATATACCCGGGTAGGGAGGGGTGTACCCGGGTAGGCTTGGTGGTCAACAGTCAAACAGGGGCAGATTGGTGTTTTGTTTTTTTGGGAGGTTAAATTTTCGAAATAGTTTATAATTAAGGTCAATTTCATAATTAATTATTAATAAAGGGTTATAAGGGTCAAAAAGCCGGATATATAGGATTAAGATTTTAAAAGCTTTTTTAAGATAAAATTTTTTATAAATTTTAAAAGATTTTTGAGAATTGAAAAGATGTTAAAGATTTTTTTAAATTATATTTTTTACAATTAAAATTTCATAAAAATAAATTTTAAAGGATTTAATAAGATTTGAAAGGATAATAGGGATTTATAAGATTTTAAAAAATCATATGAACTTTTAACAAATATAGAAAATTATATGAGTTAATAAAAAAATAACAAAAAATGCAACGATATTAATAAAAAAAATAAAACCTAATATAATTTTCTAAATTAGTAAAACATAATATAATTTTTAGCAAACATTCAAAATTACTAAGCAACAACTTTCCACATATCTAAAGCTATATTAGTCTTCCATACTTTAGCATTTTTCGTTCCTACTCTTGTATTTGACCAATGGGTTGAAAATTATCTTTTCGTTTGGTATCAGAGCTTTGCATATATGATTATAAGACTCAAAATTTTTATTTATTAAAATAATTCTAAATTTGCATATAGAACCTAAGGTTCGTGATAAAATTTCGTTTGGAATTTTTTACAATTGATCTTGAAAATATTGGGAGTTTTTTCTGTGTAATGAGAGTTTTTTAACCATATATCATATGCATGTTTTCATTGAGTATTCTAAGAAAATTACGCATCTGAATTTCTTGGTTTTATTACATGAAAGTTTAAAAAATTTCTCAAATTATCTTCAATCGATACATTGAAACCTTAAATTGTTTTTGGGTTTTTGAAAAGCAAGTTTTTAGTTATCTATTGACACAAAAATTGTTTGAAATTATTTTCTATAGCGAATGAATTTCGTTCATGAATATATTGATACGAGATACAGGGTTCATATTATGAAAGTTTTAATCTTTCTTTAAATTGATATTATTTCATTGATGTAAAATGAAAATTGGTTTGATAGTTTTAGTTCCCATGTTGTTTTCCCACTATTTTATGTTATTTTTAATACAAAAATCACACATTTTTGTGCCAAGAAAAATCGCGACTCAACTTGAAAAATTATTTTTTAAACTTCGAAAAGCTCTCAAAAATCGCTCAAAAATCTGGTGTTTTGAGATGAATTACATTAGAATCTTGTTGGTTTGTTGTTTCTCGGTTGTTTTGTGATGTAAATCGCTCAAAAATCTGCTGATTTGGAGCTTTGACGAAACTCCCATGGCGGAACCCTATTTCGAGCGGGTCAACCTGCCAAAGGAAGAAGAAAATACTGCAATAGAGAAATCTCAAGAAATCTTAGGGGGTTAGGGTGAGATTGTGAGAGGCGTCCTATTTATATTTCTCACTAAAAAGTCTCACGAAATTCACACCAACAGAAAAACCATTAAAATCGTCAGATTATTGGATTAGTTTTTTAAGATAAAAAGTCTTATAAATTTTAAAATACTATTTAGAATTGGACGGTTAAAGTCGTTTTTAAAAGACATTTTTTACAATCAAGATTTCATAGTATTGTATTTTAAAATATTTTAATAGAATTTATAAGATTTGAAAGGACAATATGGATTTACAAAATTTCAAAAAATCATATGAATTTTTAACTAACATTTAAAATTACAAGAGTCAATAAAAAAATAACAAAAAATGCAATGATATTAATATTAATAATAAAAAACTTAATATAATTCTCTCAATCAGTAAAACATAATATAATTTTTAACAAACATTCAAAATTACTTAGCAACAACACTCTGTATATCTAAAGTTATACTAATCCTCCATGCATTAGCATTTTCTCGTTCATGCTCTTGGGTTTGACCAATGAGTTAAAAATTATCTTCTTAATTTGGTATCAGAGCTATTTATATATGATTACAGAAGTAGGATATTGTAACAATCAATTAATCAATGGGATCTTAAATTGCAAAATAAAGGCTAAACAGTTTAAATTAAATAAATATATAATTTACTCTAAAAATCGAATTAAAATAAATTAAAGTTTAAGTGAACCATTTGTTGGTGGCAGACAACTCATTTGATGTCTTACTGCTTTCTACATTGAAATTTTCAAATTAATAATAACTCATTATTTTCTGAAATATTTATTTTAAATTTTGAATTTCATTTAAATTTCAATTTTGAATTTGAATTTTGAATTTTAAACTTTGTAGTGGTGGGAAAACATTTGGACAATTATTGGTGGCAGCTCATTTATTATACCATTACTTTCTAGATGGATTTACGCCTAAGGTTTGGATGAGAATCTGACATTTACACTATATAGCGATTGTGATATTTCTGTAATTCTTTAGAATGCACTTTTAAGTTTGCACTTTTACGTTTAATAATGAGTTGCCAATTCAATGAATAAAAATGAAAAATTGTTAATGCATATATGAATGGAATCCGGCTTTTTCACCCTTTTGCCCCTTATTAATTAATTAATAACCATTTTGCCCCTGATTCGAAACTATCTACCAATCTGCCCCTCTTTAATCGACTACCTTGCATTTTTAATCGACTAAACGGTTGTTGGGAGATTTAATCGACTAAATCTCTCTACTTAATCGATTAAAATCATACTGACTTATTTTTTTTTTGTAAAATATGAAGATTTAGTCGACTAAATAGGGAGATTTAGTCGACTAAATCTCCCAGCAGCCATTTTTTGTCTGTTTTGGCCATTTAGTCGATTAAAAATGCAAGGTAGTCGACTAAAGAGGGGCAGATTGATAAATAGTTTCGAATCAGGGGCAAAATAGTTATTAATTAATTAATAAGGGGTAAAAGGGTGAAAAAGCCAATGGAATCCTCATAAATATAGGAGTTGCCAATGCTCATAATGATAAGATGGAAAATGAGAAATAGTTATACGAGATATAGAAGTTTAAAACAGATGAATGAAAAACAATCATACGATATAGAATTTTAAAACAGAAGAATGAAAAATAATTTATTTAATTCAAAATTCTAAAATAGATATTTAATTCTTTTTTAAAATATTTAAACTAAATAGTTAATGCGAAAAGAGTTCAGCATTAAATAGTGGCAGACAGGTGCATTAATATCCCATTTCTTTTTTAAAATTCGAAATTTGAAGTTGATATAGGTGAGAAAAGAATTTAACATCTTTAGTGGGAGACAACTGTATTAAATTCCCACTATTTTCTACATGGGAATTGTTAACCCTCATTTTGAAAAACATTGAATTTTTTTTTCCATATTTATCGAAAAACCAAAAGACCCAAAGAAAAGAGTTCAGCAATAGTTAGTGGCAGATAGGTGCATTAATATCCCACTCCTTTTTTAAATTTCGAAATTTGAAATTGATATTGGTGGAAAAAGAATTTAACATTTTTTAATGGGAGACAACTTAAATCTGATTTTAATTTTTGTACATACAAATTTGTAAAATTTCAAATACAAACGACGCAAATCCTTGCAAAAAATAATTATTTACATAAAATGCTGATAGTTAAAGGTTGCAAACTGGACTTGGCCCAGAGGGCCTGCCCGCTCCGCCTGCCAACACATTTTTATAATTAAATTAAAATTTCACTATTCTTCTTTTATAATTAAATCCCTAACAAGGTTACCAAAAAAAAATTCCTAATTCATATTTCAATGAGGATGTAAATACAAATTTATAAAATTTCAAATATTAACGACACAAATCCTTACAAAAAATGACTATTTAATATTTATTGTGAATAAGAGCCTTTTTTTGTGAATAAATATAAAAACCTATTACATGCTAATAGTTATATGTGGCAAACTGGGTTCGGCCCGGAGGGCCGACCTACCAAACATTTTTATAATTAAATTAAAATTTCATTTTTCTTTTTTATAATTAAATTATTAAATCTGATTTTAATTTTTGTAAATACAAATTTGTAAAGTTTCAAATACAAACGACGCAAATCCTTGCAAAAAATATTTATTTACATAAAATGCTGATGGTTAAAGGTTG